TACAATGTCTAAAAGCAACAACACGGTTGGACTTCGAGGGCATTATGCTAAGTGAGGTAAGTCAGACAGAAAAAGACAAATGCTGCATGATATCATTTATATGTGGAATCTAAAGAAGCCAAACTTGTAGAAATAGACAAAGTGGTGGTTACCAGGGGAAGTAGGGAGATGTTGGTCAAAGGGTACAAATTTGCAGTTGGATGATGAGTAAGTTCTGGAGATCTAATGCACAACATGTGCTTAGAGTCAACAATACTGTATTATATACTTCAAAGTTGCTAAGAGACTAGATCTTAAATGTTTACACCACAAAATAAAATGATAATTATGTGACGTGATGAAGGTGTTAGCTGACGGTACAGTGGTAACCATATTGCAATATATAAATGCATCAAATCAATACATTTTAAGCCTTAAACTTATACAATGTTATATGTCAATTATATCTCAATAAAATCAAATAAAATTTTTTAAATATTAAAATCTACAACATTAATTATTGATAAATAACATTTATTGAGCAGTTGGTATATGCTAAACTAAATGCTTTGCATATATTAGCTAATTTAACCCTCAAAGAAACCATATTCCTCTTTTCTTCATTTCACATATGAGGAAATCAAGATATGAAGTAACAGTGTCACTTAAGCAAGGATCTTACAGCTGGAAAGTGGCATTCAAACCCATATCTGCTTTACAATTTCACCATCCTAAGACAACTACTAGAAACATTTTTATGTATTTTCTTCACCTGCACATTCCCTTTGCATATTTGTGTATGAGTGTGTTTTAATGGAGACATTTTATGTAATTTTACATTTATTTAAGTTTTCCATGTCATTAGTGAGTATTCAAAACAGGCTTTTATTGCTACATAATACTTTACCTTATGCTTATACCAAACTATACTTAAGCTAATTACCCCCATTGCTTTTGCCAATTTTGGTTTTTTGAATAAAATTTTGACAAACATTCTTACACATGTGGAGTTTTATGTTATCTCCGATTACTTTTCTAGTATAAAATCTTAGAAGTGGAACTACTGACTAAGATATATGAGCATTTTAAGGCCATTATTTATATATCCAAAATGTCTTCAAGAAGCACTAATCAGCTTATTCTTGCACCAATGTCCAAAGAGGTTGAATATCATCTCAAAGGTAAAATTAAAAAGAAACATTTTAAATTCTATGTTTTTTTATTGGGATTTTATTACACTGATAGGCTCACTTAGAGGAAAGAAATATCTTTTCAACCAAAAATATAGTATGTCCCACTATTTATTCCAGTTTTTTTTGTTGTTGTTGTTGTTGTTTTTTGTATTTGTTTTGGCCTTTCTTCATGTAGATCTTATGCATCTGGGGTAAAATTTATTTCTAGATATTTTATAGTTTTTTTGTTTGTTTGTTTGTAGTGATTGTTTTCCATTATATTTTAAACCTGATTTTCTATTGCATAAAGAAAAGTTATTTAGTTGTTATCATTTTTTTATTAACATTTAACTTGTAACAGAAAATCTTACTTATTTCTCATATTAGTTCTATTCTCTGTTATAGATGCCAGTCTGAAGATCAGTAGAGAGGCAAATGTTATTGTCAAGGTGAAGTTTCCTGCTCCTCTCTCCCTGTTCCCTACCCTTGGATTTGGTTGGTCCATAGTTCCCTGGAGCAATGGTATACCAACTGGTGTGAACTGCATGGGCCCTGCCCCCTTTCTCCTTCAGAGAAGCTATGCAGGGCAGTGATGAAGACTTCCCATATTCAGACCCTCTCTATGCATGAAACCCTAGGCAATTTGCTTACCCTCTCTGTGCCTCTGATCCACAAAATGAAGATAATCATGGTATTAACTTCACAAGGTAGTAGTATGGACTCATAGTATGAGTTAAGGATGGTAAAGCTCTCAACCCCATACCTGCTACATTGTGCATGTTACACAAGCATTTACTGACACTAACTTCTTTGGTTCTGTGCTCCAGCAGCACTTGGCTTCTTGAATTCCTCAAATGTGATATGCACTCTCCTGCCCCTAAGACTTTACACAGGGACTCTCTTTCACAGCACTTACCACAATAGGTAATCATATAGGCATTTGCGTGGCTATTTACTTTCCATCTGCCTTACCCCAGGGGTAACTCCCATGAGGTCGTGAGCTCTGTTTTGTCCCCACTGCACACTGCATAACTGGAGATTACAGAGGTAATCTCCAGTGGATGCCCAATAGATATGTGTCAACCACTGAGTAAATAAATAAGAAGCCAAAGAGAAGAAAATGTATCTAAACAATTTTATAAAGCATCACAGGAATTTGGGATTAAGTCTCCAAGTTTCAAGTCTGTGCCTCACCCGCTACATCATATCACAACATCAAATCTCAATTTAGCCTAAAACCTTAGAAGTATGCTTTTACATACTCCCTTCCAAAGTGCTTAGGAAATCATATTGCAGAAGTTAACACATCTTTTAGAGAACTATATAAATGTATGATAGGATCTCTGAGGTACTTCATTTATTTCTTCTTTGGAAACGTAGATATGATGAATGAAAAGCTCATCACATTAAAATGGCCAGTAGTAAATACAGAGTTCCCAGAATGAAACTTCTTAGCAGATGATACAGGACTTTGAAATCTAATGTTTGTCCCTTTAAGAAGTAGAGGCAAAACTGTAATAGGCTCAGTGTACCCTAATGATACTGTTATTTTGATTTAGGGAATGCAGTTTGTAATGAGGATGTACTTACAGAGCAAGGAAATGATGTTCTGTGGGGAGTGTGCATGAGATTTTTCACATTACTAGTATATTATCACTATTTTCCTATAAGGAAATTAGTACCCTCATATGGCAATGATCAAATGGCTAACATTGTAAAAAGCATTTTGAACTGCTCTGGGAAAAGGTTTTATATAAAAATATTATTCGAACCGTTACTGTAAATAAACTTAGAGGGTCTTATAAACCTTGGGGCACAAAGAAAGCAAGTTTGACAAAGGCTCTGTTGAGTTAGCGACTTCAAGGTGTCTTGCCGCATCTGTTTTATTCAATTCATTCAAACATACAACCTAGTTATATGTTTTCATTTATATGTTTACATCATGACTTTGCTGCTCAAAGTGTGGGCTTCAGACCAGCAGTGTCTGCATTACCAGAAAGCTTGTTAGAAATGCAGACCAGAAGACCACACCTCAATGGAGATGTACCAAATCAAATCTGCATTTAACAAGATCCCCAGGTAGTTTGTATGCACATTAAATTTTGAGAAGCACTGCTGTAAATAGTTTTACTAAAAGCAATGAGAATTAAATGCATAATTTCAGTGCAAAGAAGAAATACAATGCTTATGAAAAAGGTATATTTGTTAAACAGCATGCAGGAGATGGCGATATAGCAGCTGGGGTCAGTGGAGTCAGAAAGACTTAACCACCAGATCTGCCTCTTACTAGCTGCTGCATCAAATCCTGCTTCTCCCCAACTCACATCCTCTGGACCTGTCTTTTCACTCCAGTCACTGCTGTTGTAACCAGCGTTGCCCACCTGCAATCTGGGGGCGTGTCAGTACTCCAGGTAGCTAACACTTTCCACCCTGGGCTTCTCTGCTGCCCCTAGGAGAAATGCCTTTGGAAACCTAGTCAGTCATTTTGAAATGTTTACCATAGTTGAAGTGAGAATTCTCCCCACATGGGGCAACCCTTGCCCAACACTGAACTACAGCTGCAGTCAAATATAAGGTGGATCCTCCAAGGCCTCTCAGAGTGTTCCTAGCAGGATCAGCCCCAGCAGCCAACAGCAGTGACTAGCTGCTTCTTTAATACAGAAATACTTTATACTCTATAGGGAGTAACTTACCACACATGACTGATGTTTTAATTTGCAGTTGATCACCAAACTTCTTCATTGAAACAGCATATCGATTTTACTATCATTACATTGCTTTACATAATAATATTTAACAGTTACTGTCCTCAGAATACTGTACACTTTAACCAACTCTCTCTTATACCATTTCTGAGAGAAAGATAAGCTTATTATCTTTTTATAGATAATCAAGCCAGAATAAAACAGTTAAATAGTTTTTCCCAGTGTGGTAGTGAAAGCACAGTATTTGCATAGCTAAATTGATGGCTCCTTATCCTTGAATTATCAAACTACACTTTTCTTTTTTTTTCTCTTTGTGATAGCATTTAGTTTTATCATAACAAAACAACTTGTACGCTTTTACCGTTTAAAATTGAGAATCATCTTTCCTTTCCCGTGAAACGAAAAAATTTAAGAATAAACTTGAACAATATTACAATAGAGAAGGTCAATTCTAAATACAGGTTCTACTGATTCTCCCATCGAGTGGCAGGGCTCAAGTCATCATTAGAAGAGAATTTTATTTTAAACATGTCATCTTAAACAGCAAGGATGTCCGTCAAATATCACAGTTAAACATGCCAAAGAAGCTATGTTGTCAAAATGCCCATTTAACCCACCTGAACATCTCAAACCCACCCTTTGCTGACCTTCTATAACCTCAGCTTTTAGGGTTTTTTCCTTATTTTTAAACAAGAGAAAAAAGACAGGTATATGTTGGTAAATGCTAACTGTCCATATCCACACAGACACAGTGTAATCTCTGAGCGCAATATGTAGAGAGAGAGAAAAAACTAAAACTCTCTGCACTACTACACAGGGGACTAGAACCTTCCGGCTTGCAACTGAGCTAAGGGAACAGAAGTTTTTTCTTTTTTCCCACAGAGCATGGTGGTGTCAATTCCATGAAGTTTTTGTTGAGACAGGAGCAGATAAAAATGAATTTGGAACAGAAAGGGGCAGAGATTCTTTTCCCACTGTATTCTGCTCAAGTTATTTCCCCCAAAATAAGGTGAGAACTACGGTGCAAAGGAGAGAAAAGAGACCTCAAAAACAGGGCATCTGAGCTCAAGAGGGAAAAAAAATTGTAACTTGCTCACAAGGACTAGAGAAAATTTTAAAAGGTTGAAATCCATCAGTGTTCCATAAAAACATGGCATGCTGCATGAATTTGCATGTCATCCTCACACAGAGACTGTGTTAATCTTTTCCATATCATTCCAATTTTAGTATATGTGCTGCCGAAGCGAGTACTACATCTTTCTCCTTTACGAAAGTTAGCAGTATTTCCAAATTCGCTGATTTGGGGAATGACTTAGTATTGTCAAGTAAAACGAAGTATTTGCATAGCATCTCAGAAAAATCATTTTTGAACAAAAATTCTCATCAAGCCTGAAACTTGATGTCCCAAATTTATGATATTAAATTCACACGAATTACCTCCATTTTACCATAAGTAAATTACCTGTTGATATTCCTTCCACTGTCATTGTTGGAATTGTCATTAGTTGGTTTATGCTTTAAGATCAGAGTGGCCCCTAGTGGTGCACTTTTCTGCTCAGCTTCAAATTTTCAACAGGTACAAGTTGAAAACTCGTCGATTATTCATTATGATGGCAACGTCATGCATGAAAAAGCCGACCACCACCTCCATAAACCTTGTACACATAAGAAATCAGTTCTTTTGGAATTTGAAATCTCATATTTTGAAAGGGTATAACAAAAATGTCTTCGACAGAACAGAAGCTCGTGTTAAATATTTACTGACAAATAAAGTTCTAAAATGAAATGTAAAATGAGATGTTTCTTCCTAAAGAAATCAGGACACATAAAAGACATGCTAATAATATGATAATGGCCATCCCAAGGCAATAACTCAAGAATTAACTGTCTGCAAATAATCTGTGTAAGCAGTACCTTGACTTTAAGGTTCTTAAAAATGCAAGCATGGAGATGAGGAAGCTAATCATGCTAATTAACTCACTGTGCCTTGTAACAAATTAATTTTAAGTAAAGGAACGGGCAACTAGAGAAAAAGGCCAAAATCTCAATTAGTTAATCCGAATAGAGCATAAATACTCTCAGAACTCATTTGCCTTTTAGAATGAAAGAATTTGAACTGGGATGGTAGGAATGGCGATCACTATGCAATGACAGCCTGGAATTGTCATTTATGGCACCATTTTTAAGGTCTGCATTCCGACTGGAGTGTTTACTGTATTTGGTCAGCAGAATATGACAAATTGATGTAAACTATCCAAAACCGGCCCCACCCTCAGGGAATTAATATAATGTAGGACGCTGACAAGTTCTATTAGCTTAGTTTCTGATTAAAAAGTGTTTCTGGCCAGAAAGCTTTGTAGGTTAGGTCAGGACTATCAGCATTCGTTTCTAGTCATAAGTTGTGGATAGGAGTCTTCTACACACCTGATATCATTTTACAAAGCCTACATCATCATTCTAATAACTACTGATACTATTTTCAATGTTTAGTTAGTAAAAGCATAAAATAAGATTTATTCCTTACACCTAGAGGATCTAGTTCTTAAATCTATCCATTCCCTTCTCACAATCTGTAACCTATTTTTCCACAGATTTGAGCCTCCATGTCTTCAGATTCTCAGGTATAACTGGCTCAAATGATGTGTTTCCTTGCTGCTACTACTGATCTTTCCAGCTACCATACTCAATGCAGCCTTCCTTTCACAAAGGAAAGGATATTCCACGTCCAGAGCTTCTGCTCTCACTTGTACACCTTAAAATCCCAGTCATAACCAGCCGCCACCATCCAACAACCATTAAAAAAAAAAAATTAGACTTCTTAAACCACTTGACTTCTGAAATCTCTAAGGGGTCACCAGTGACCTCACCAAATCCAGTAGCTTTTTCTTAACCCTTACTTTCTAAGGTCTGTCTGCTCTATTTGGCATTATTGACTACCACTTCCTTCTCAAAATCCTTTCTCCTCTTGGATTTCAGAACACTGCATTTCTCTGATTTTTCTCCCCTCTTTACAATTCCAGGGATATATATTCCAAATTTGAATACTCTCTACTTCTATTATATGAATGAGTATACTAGCATTAACCACAGGGAAATATTTTTTCCTTTGGTAAAAAAAAAAATGAGATATTTTATATTAACAAGGGTTATGGGATATTCAGAGAGAGACAACAATTAAATTTTTAGCCAATTATGTGTGTCCTCTGTAAGGCACACCCCACTCTGAGTAGCTAGATATATGGTTTAAATAGGAACATGGAGATTCAGAGGACACAGGAAATGTCTGGCCTTCTGAGACCATCTGGTACATTTTAAACCCTTCCTGAGCCCCCAGACGACCTACTAACAAGTACAGCCTTAGGTAGACTACATTGATTCATAGCCTCTTTCAATAACTTAAAATATTTGTTTTTAACATTATCATCTGCTGCATCTATGATTTCTAGTCAACAGGCTTTTAATTTTACAGTTTTAAACCGTGACACCATAAGGAAATGCTCTGATAGTTTTTGAAATTACCAGATATCTGTTTGACCAAGGTACATACTCTAACCAAGTATATTTTTAATATTATTACAATTATAAATGATGTGTCTTTTATTTAAGTATTCAAGTAATCAAGGGAAGCCTCTCTCTTTAAAACAATTAGAGGAATCTTTTGAAAGCATCAGTTTGATTTTGTCTGATCCTGTAAGCCAGATATGCCAGAACTGAAATTCAGAGAATCTTTAAATTAAATGAGTGAGCTGATTATGAAAATATGACACTCTACACAACACACTAATGATTCTGTTTAAGGTTGTTTTGTTTTGTTTGGTTTTTTAGAAATGGGGGTTGATTAAGCCTTAAAATGATGATTCTAATGAATCCCCATGGAAGAGTCAAAGGAGGCCTAGAAGAGATAATACTTCAATCAAATAGAAACAGCTCTACCGGCCACCTAGAGTAAGGGGAAACAAAAAGCAGTGCATGTCCTAAAGCTATCTCACTGTTTGCCTGCATCCCTCTCCTCTTCTGAGCCTCTTTTAAGATGATCAATTGATACCACTAATTTCTTATATTTTTGTATATGCTTATTATTTCCCCTGTAATAATTTGCATTATCCTTTGACTTAAACTTTTACAATCACATTTTGGAGAATGAAGTACAAGTAAATAATACAAACTGAAATTCTTCTTCTTCTATGAGTGTATTATATAATTACAATAATTACTAGCCCTTCTGAACACTTACTCTGTATCAGTCACTATGTGAAGCACTGTTTAGACATTATTGCCTGTGATCCTCACAAACTCTCTCTGTAGTATTATTATCCTTAATTAATTGACAAGAAAACAGAGACTTGGAATGGTAGAAACTTGCCTAGGAAGTAGTAGAGCCAAAATTCCAATTCACATCTTTCTTATATTAAAAGAATTTCTTTTACAACAAATTAATCTTCTTTTCATATATCTTTGATGCATGAGTTGCTGGACATTGAGGTGAATACTTATTTCTTAGCACACCAATCCAGATAGGGAATTTTAAATGCTCATCAGTCCAAGCTATGTATCCTGACATGTTAAGACCCTAGAAGAGAAAGCGAGGACCACTGAAAAACAAAACTTAGAACAAACTGACAGCTTACTTCTCCTCTTCTATGGATAGTGGTGGCCACCACTATTTATTATAAGATGTGAGTTGCCACTATAATTGGAGAAGGCTGAATTGGAAGAAAATAGGAAGCAATGTTATAGTGTGGAGACACATTTTATCTGCGAAAGCCTATTCCTGTAAGCGAGACTTGAAATGTGTTGCCTACTGCCATAATGCCATCAACACCATAAGATAAATACATCTTTTACAACTCTACAGACCCAATTGGCCTCCATCTTCAATTCTAGGGAGTCTCACTAATGCCAGCAAAAAGAAGAAAATTAATCCATATCTTGTTTAGGTCAAACTTGTTTCTAAGTGAGTCTCTTCAAGTAAATCTCAAGTTGATAAATAAATGTAAATAAATATATACATATTTAAAGCACAATGAGGTCATCTTTTTCTCATATGTGCACATCTCTGTTACAAGCAAATCTACCAGAAGTCTCTTGAGAACCTAGCTTAGCAGATTATATAATTATTAAAGGTTGACCTTTTCTGTGGAGTTTAATGAACCGGAAATTGCATTTTTAACCTTGGCTGATGTGCTATCAGATGTCAGTCATCATTTCTTTAATCTATCTCAACCAGACTATAAATTAAGTAGGTCCAAAATCCAATTTATGAGGCCAACAGAGGGGTGAAAAAAGCCAGTGGTTATGGAGAGAGACTTTAAAGAAGAACCACTCTGAAGTAATATTAAAAAGATGGCAGTAACAATAAGAATAATAACTAATTTACGGACAAGGTCATGAGAACTATTGGGGGAGGGTAATTCCTACAGTGAGGGCTTGAATTTGTTGTAACTTGAACACAATGTAAATAGATACTTGAAACCTAGCGAAGACTACCATACACCAGGCAAAATACCAACAGGCAAAAATGTATATTTTCAAGCCAAATTATTCCTAAAACAAGTTCACCAGTAAGCTTAAAATTTATTTTTTTATAATTTACTGTTATTATATTTTATAATTTCTGAAGTATAAATTTTGTACATTTCTCCTTTAATCAATTGACTGTTTCTATTTTAAACAGAATCTATTCACTGCATAGAATTTTATGTGCTAAAAAAAGTAAATATATCCAACAATTTTATGTAAATAAGTATCTCTATAATGACTCCTTTGTTTCATCCACGCCATTTTTCTTCCTATTTTCCTAAGTAAAGACATTATTCAGCTTATAAAATATTTTCTAATGTATAAATCTCTGACCTCTGCATTTCCCACAAGCTTCCTAAAACATCACAGATGAGATATTTGCATAGACTGAAGCTACTTGCATACAATGTTGGAATAATGAGTAAGTTCAATCAAGTCTGCAAAATAGCTGGTCAGTTCTGAGAGGAGAAAAATAATCAATAATAAATTGGGCACACATTCCACTCCAGACACTATGCAAGGTGTTCCACTGACTCCAGAACAGACAGGGGCCAGCCCCTGACATCAAGGAGCTTAGAGTATTGGGATAAGAACAGAACGTGTGCAAACAAAGGTAAGTGTGCCCTCCGGTGTTAAGCCAAGAAGAAAAACTCACCCCTTTTTGTCAGAAAGTTTATGAAACATGTTTGTTTGCTCAACTAAAGTCATCATTTTTACTGGTTGATTTTAAA